TTAGAATGTTTTTGGATGTGTAGTTTCCACAACTTGTTCAGTGTACATATAAATATCATGTGTGCTAAAAATATGTTTTGTGGTAAGAAAATATGTTGAGTGGTCTGAAATTACGTTATGTGGTGTGAAAATATGTTCCGTGTTCTAAAAATGTGTTCTTATTTGTACGCTCAATAAACACTGAAACAACATGCATGTTGCAAGTTGGTGATATACAGTCACTACAATTATTAAATAAGTGTGTCTACTAACGGTTTAACGTCACAATATTGGATAAAATGATTGTTTATAGCAACTAAATTCCCTACCTAATAGCCACACTTTTATAATACAACCACATTTTTTCATATCATATGGACACTAAATTTTAAAGTGGCCATAAGACCCATACGATGGCTTTACCTTCCATCACACTTTTAGTGAAAAAATAAAATGTCACTATACACTTATGGTCACACTTTTATGGTGTGTCCATAGGTCATTTTTGTACTAGTGTATGTTGATTCAATAGAATTTAAAAAATTAATAAACTCAAATATGACTTAACTATCTCAACCAATCGAACATATTTTCTTAATTTTTATCACATTGATATGCATATGTATAGGGTATAACTATTTTGAAGATAAATATCCTTGAGTCTGTGTTCACAAGGACATATCACCTTTTTTTTAACCGACAATATATGATATATATTAATGAAATTCACCCCACTAGCAAGTGGCTAGTAGAGATGAGAGTTTACAATGATTCAACAGAAGAGAAGGGAGGAGTTCCATGAACTCCAATCTATATTATCATTACCTCCTATATGTTTAACCCAAACATATGTTAATGATTTTACAGCAACCAATATCCTCTCTGAATTCAATACAATTTTTTTTAAAGATTCTATCATTCCGGGCTTTCCATAAACTCCATATGGCCCCGAATAATATCACAGTTAATATTCTTCTCTTCTTGGGGCAGTTACTCCATCTTGATACATAATCAATGATGCTCAATACTGAATGGAATTCAGTCTCCGGTAATCCACACCATTGAAGAATCGCCTGTATTACTTCCCTCGCCAATGTGCATGATGCAAGGATATGGTCACCTGTTTCTTCTGTCGCATTACAAGCACCACAAACATTTGAAACCATTGCAACTCCTCTATTTTTGAGTGCTCCCGCTGAGGGAATTTGATTTTGTTTCGCTCTCCAAACAAAGCCCAAGACTTTTAGCTGAACCAGTTTAATCCACGGGAAGATCCCATCACACACTGGGAAGGATGCTCTTTCAATTCTATCACGTAGGACAGCCATGCAAAAGTGTCCGTCTCTAACGAATGAAGATACCCATGTGTCACTAGTCTCCTCATGTCGCATTACATCTTCGAATGGAATATTGATCTTCTCTAACCTTTTCCTGATTTTTACAATATTATTCCATACAATAATCCAGGGTTTTTTTTGATCCAAACCGATTATTCTCTCCCACCAGTTTATGTAATCCATTGATAATCTGGACCCATAAGGAGCTGGGTTCGTTTTTCAACCGCCACAACCACTTGGTTAGCAACGCCATCCAATACCCAAACCTCCAACCGATTTTGGAGCTGTAACCTTATCCCATGCCACCCACTTTATGCTATTCTTGCAAGTAGGACCTCCCCAAATGATCTGTCTACTTATTTTCTCCAGTGAATTTATCGGGGATCCAAATATGGATAGGAAGAATGTGGGTAGGCTTCCAAGTACAACTTTGGCAAGAGTAATTCTTCCCCCGAAACCGAGGGTTTTAGCCTTCCAAATTGAAAGTTTTGACCTCAATTTATCCAATATAGTGTTCCATGAGACCTTACGATTCATATTTGATCCTACCGGGACGCCAAGGTAGGTGAAGGGTAGTACTGCAAGCTCACAACCGAGGGGAGATGCCCAGTTAACGACATCGTGGGTCGGGACACCAATACCATAAACTTTGGACATGGAGAAGTTGACCTTTAGACCAGAGGAAACATAAAAACATCTAAGAATTCTGGCAAGATTGGCAACGTTCCGGTGTGACCAATCTCCCAAAAATAGAGCATCATCTGCGTAAAGGAGATGAGATAAACACACATTAGTATTAGGAATATGGATACCGTCAAAAATACCTTTAGATGTTGCTGACTTCATTGCAACATTAAGCTCATCCATCGCAATGATAATCAGGAAGGGGGATAGAGGATCTCCTTGTCTCACTCCTTTTGACATTGTGAATTCGGCAATAGGGCTTCCATTTATAATGATAGAAGCTGTAGTTGATTCTAGACAGCCCCGAATCCACGATCTCCATTTACAACCAAAGCTCATTTGAGCCATTATGGAATCTAGGTATCCCCAGTTGATTGAATCGAAAGCCTTATTAAAGTCTGCCTTGAATAGAAGGATTTTTCTTCCATTTGACTTACCCATGAGAAAATTTCGTTTACTATAAGAGGTCCCTCTAATATGTTACGCCCCTCCATAAAGGCAGATTGAACTTCATCAATCACACTACCAATCACCTTTTTAATACGAATGGCAAGAATTTTTGTGATAACTTTATACATCGAACCAATCAAGCTGATTGGGTGATAGTCATCAAGGCGAAGCGGGTCCTTGATCTTTGCTGCCAACGTAATGAAGGAAGCATTGCATCCTCTTGAAAATTTACCCCATCTTTCAAAATGTTTTACTGAAGCTAGCACATCTCCTTTAATGATTTCCCAGTATTTTTTAAAAAATTCGAGGGTAAAACCGTCCGGTCCCGGGGCCTTCTCACTACCACAAGACCATATGGCGTTTTTTATTTCATCAATCGATATCAGAGCCTCTAAAAATTCAGCATCGGTTGGAGATAATTTTCTGAATAAATCGCTTCTAAAATTTGGTCTAGACAACCACTTTTCATGGAATTTGTTGGAGAAAAATGTTACTGCTGCGTTTTTCATCTCGTTGGGCCGTGAGATCCATTCTCCATTTACCACAAAACCATGTATTCGGTTTCGTCTTGCCCTGTTGTTTACGTAACCATGAAAGAAGCTAGTGTTCTCATCCCCATCTACCACCCACTTAATCCTTGCTTTCCGTCTTAGATCTAAAGAGGCAAGTCATTCCAATTCCGAAATTCTACTAAAGCCCCTTGCTCTATCTTCAATTTCGGTATCAGAGAATTGTCTAGTTTCCGCCATTAAGTCAATCTCTTCCAATCTTTTTTTCGCATTCAGAAGCTCCTGATTCTCCTTTTGAAATTCAGTTGCCCTCCATTTCTTGATTTCACCTTTTAAGTGTTTGAGTTTACAAGCTAAAAAGATGTCAGCCGCCCCAAATCCTTTAAATTCTTCCCAAACCTTAACCACAATCTGATCAACGCTATCACGCAACATCCATGAATTAAACATCTTGAATGGGGGTGGCCCAAAATCTTCAACCTCCATTTTAAGGATCACCGGTGAGTGATCTGAGAGTTCTTTTGGGAGAGCGATGGAAGAAGCCAAAGGAAATCTATCCATGAAGTTCCCACAGACTAAGAATCGGTCTAATTTACTCAGCTTTGCACCAAATTGTTGAAAGTAAGTGAATCTATACCCCCCATCAATAAGTCGTGTAGTTCTGCCCTTTGTATGAATCGATTGAAGGAATCAGCACTCGACTTACAGAAGGTCGAGTTGATTCTTTCATCGGGTCTTCGAACATCATTAAAATCACCTAGAAGTATCCAAGTAGCCATTTTTGATTGTTTCAGGTTTAATAGATCACGCCACGGTTGCGATTTTTCAAAAATGGATTTAGGGCCATATACATTAACAATCAATTATGGACAAGTACCGATTATCGCTAAGAAATACCTGGATTTAATCGTCGGGTTATTATGTCAAGTGTTAATTAAGAAAATATAATATTACTCGATGCATGCATAAAACATTTGATGCATTGCAAAGAAGAGGGATATGTGTACGCAAGTAGTTCCATTATTGAGTAAAAAGGATGCATGAATTTTTGACGTAAGAAAATAAAAATAGAGAAGAGTGTTTCCAAATAGTTTGAACTCTCTAGTCTCTCCCACCCTACTTTTTCTAATAACTACATTTTGTTCTTCAAATAAAGTGATTCTGCTCGTGATTCAAATTATCCAATTATTTAGAAGTTAAATAATTAAGGCATATTCACAAATATAACTATATAACTATTCAAAAAAATTGTAAAGGATATAATATTTTTGCATTTAAATCCTACTCCTAAACTATTACGTAATCTTAAGAGGCTATAAATAATTTTCTGACTTCTTAGAAACAATGTGGTGCCATAAAAAAAGTGTTTAAAAGCCTATTTTTATTTGTCAAACACCCATTTTAGCTAATATTACAAAAAACTAATAAATGAATAAATTATTCAATAACTTAATCCCAAATACCCCTTCAATACTGTGTATAAGTTTTATATAATTAATACATTTAGTTTTATTAAGAAAGATTTTTTTATATATTTTTTGGATGTAAGAGATTTTTTTTAAATGTACTCGTTTAATATCAGGTGAACATGCTTGTTTATTTGATATATAAGAAAAAAAAATCTAAAGAAGGCTATAATTTTCATTCGTTTTTTTATAATCTATTAAGTCATTTTGCATGAAATAGTTACATATTTTAAATATTAGGTGATGCTAATAAGATATCCATTGACCATTTTATAAAAAGTTAATAAGATATCCATTGACCACTTTATAAAAAGTTAACCTATAATTAATTCAGTTTTTCCTGAAAACAATGCAATTTCAATCAATAAAAAAAAATTTAAATTTAATTAAGGTGTCCAAAATGGGGTTTTAGACCTTTGAAAGTTGTTACTTAAAACAAATAAAAAGCAGACGTTACTTGTATTCTTGTAATAAATGACTTGTAATAAATGAAAGAATATATTGCTTAAAATATGAACTGTGAATTCAATCTCTGATTTCTTTTGTATAAATAAGAAAGCCATGACATGAAGAAATGTAAACTGTGATTCCATCAAACAAAATCCTATGATACGAGACCTTCTTTGGACAATCTAAAACCCTCCGGCAGCTAATTTCTCGGCGATCACATAATTCACCGTGATCAATGGCGCTTCGAACAGCCATAGCCAAGCGTCTCTACAAAAATCGGTTTCTAGGACAATTTCCGTCATCTCAAAATCCTTCGACTGCCGCCATACCAAATTTTTATCACCAGCTATTGACATCGCCGGAGAAGTCCTCTTCCACCGCAGACGCTGGATTATACCGGCGGCTCTTCCAGTTCCAGCCGAGACAAATCAACCAAATGCCGAGAATTAGCTTGCCGGAACTATTTTACTTTCCTGTTGGAGAGAAGCGGAGGCAAAAGATGAACACCTCTGGTTCCGAACGTCTCAGGTTAGACGGTCTGAAGCCTCAGATTATGGAGAATGCATCGTCTCCTTCAGATTCCGTCGGAGTATCCGCGCGTGATGCTAAGAAAATCATAAGGTGTTCACAGTTGCAGAACGTGAGATCTGCTCTGAAGCTGATCCCCTCCAATTCGATTACCTACTCTGAATTTGTCACGATCTGCAGAGACGTGTGTAATAATCATGATCAAGGCCTCGAGTTTTCGAAACTGTTGGATGTAGCAGGAGACGTTATCGTTTTGGGAAACGCCGTCTTCCTCCGTCCGGATCAGGTACGAAACTGTTCCGGAATATACTTCCGATTCCATAATTACGAGGCACAAATTTGACATTGATTCTCTCCTATTTCAATCAAACATTTCTAGAAAGTTACAGATTTCAAAAACGCCTGAACAGATGAAAATGAACATCGTAACAGAATCTGGCCCCAAATTCTGACCACCCTAAAATTGGATTCATGAACTAGTTGATAGCTTACATTTTCAGAAACGTATGAAATTTCAAATAACGCCTCAATTGACATGTTCATGTTGATCGTCAAGTATTACATGAAACATATCGTTTCAGGTTGCAAAATCAATGGAGAAATTAATCTCACAATCAATATCAACGCCAAATGACCCAAGGAAGCAAGAACTCGAAGAACTGGAGATGCAAAAAGCTTTAATCGATCAAAAAGCGACATCCAAAGTTCGTGGTGAGCTCTATTGTGGTCTAACCTTTCTGATCGTTCAAACATTGGGCTTCATGAGGCTAACTTTTTGGGAACTGAGTTGGGATGTAATGGAGCCAATTTGCTTCTTTGTCACATCGTTCAACTTTGCAATTGCTTACATGTTTTTCTTAAGAACATCCAAAGAGCCCAGTTTTGAAGGCTACTTTCAACGAAGGTTCAAGGTGAAGCAAATGAAGATCATGGATGCGTACAACTTCGACAACAAGAAGTACAACGAGCTCTGTAAGGTCTTTTACTCTAATCATGAGAGTAAGCTTTCAAGCCTTAAGCACTTTCATCATTCAAGAAGTTCAAGAACAGCTATTGGTTAAATTTCCTGCACTTTGTTTTGTCGATTTGATTGGGCATGTAAATAATTGAAATTTGAAATATGAATTCTTGTCAATTTTTTTTAAGGAATGATGGGAACAAATTACAGGTGATCGGAAGTAGCATACATAAAACTTGAGGGTTTATTATTTTTTTTATTTAGGCTATGTTTGGCGCGCCACAGCTAGCTCATAAGCTAGCTTATTTTTTGAGTTTTTTTTATGTTGTCGTGTTTGGTAAGCCAAAAAGCAGCTTATAAGGTAACTTATAAGCTAGCTTTTTGAAAAGCTACTTAGACTAGCTTTTTAGGAGCTTTTTTAAAATTTTCCAAATACACCCTTATTTAATTATAGAAACACATATTCTTTAATGTCATTTTATGTAATTTTATATATTTCAGCTAGTTTTACCAAACTTTATTTTTTACCAGCTAGCTTTTCAGCTATCAGCTAGCTTTTTATTTAACAACTAGTTTTTCAGCTATCAGCTAGCTTTTCAGCTAACAACTAAATTTTCAGCTAGTACGCCAAACATAGCCTTAATATAAATAACAAACTATTTACATTAAATTAAATATAAAATAAAATCTAGGGGTGTTTGATTTTACATAGGAGGTCTTTTTGGTGTGAAATATTTGATGAGAGGTACAAGTGTCGAAATCTATCTTCCTTTGTCTAATGAATCTTTCTGTTATAATATTTTATCCGAAAGTTATGAGTATTTATCAAATTTGTTCCTAACGGAACACTATTGGATCAAATGCATTGTTGAGAAAAAGATTATTTTTCCCGGATCCTGATGATATTCTCGCTGTCTGTTGTTGTAAATAAAACAAAAAAAAAATTAATAATATTAAAATTGATTGATCGATTAAAATCATATTTGGATATTTCAACCCAACATACATATCTCACCGTGTGAGCGAAAGGACACTAGTTAGAACCACAACCTTCATCCTCATCCCTCTCTACGGACAATGTAGATTCACACCAGTAGCCTCCCTTAATCCTTAAGGTAGCGTTTGGTGCATGAGACTGGACAGAACAAAAGAGATTAGGCAGTGGCGGATGCCTTAAGGGGCCACGGGAGGCCATGCCACAAATCGTTCGTGAGATATCTATTTGCGATTTTTCAGAAAAGATGAATTAGACCGCTGCAATTTGGATCGTTCCCCTTTCTTTAACTCCCGTTGGCTGCTTCCTAAAAACCCTAAATGCCAAAAAGATGACAATTCATTATTTGTAGTGGGTTTGTATTATTGATTTGTAGGGCTTATTTTAAGTGATTCAATTAATGGGCTAGCGTATCAGTTTTTTGTTATAACACACATATTGTATTATATTAAATAGGTTTATTTATTTGATTTATATTGTAACAATTTACATGAAAGCTATTAAAATTTATTTTTATATATAGGACTTGTTTTATCCTAACGAGTTTGTCAAAAGTTAGTTTATTATTTTCATATTGTTAACTAATCTGCTTTATTTTAAATTAACATGTGTTACTTATAAAAAAAAGGAAGTTAATCGTGTAGTGAAAATATAGATAAATATTAAAATACACATGTTCTTCCACTATAGAAATAAATTATCCTCTTTAAATAAAAATTGGGTCCGTTCGTTGTTTTATGTTTTACTAGTTAGTTCTAATGGTTTATTAATCATTGATAAATGATACAAGTCTATTTTATATTAACTTTCTTTAGATTTTGAGCTTGTTATAATTTAAACCATATTAAACTTTTTATGTGGTTTCATTTCGAAGTTTTGGTTTTGGCCCCCCTACTTATAGTGTTCGTGTTCCGCCCCTGAGAACAGGTCTCTTTCAAATGGCGTATAGCATGGATGGACAAGAAGAAATGAAGAATAGTTGTTGATAAAGTCAAATGAGACTATTTTATTAGATTTTAATCCTACCAAAAAAGATGAAATGGAACAAAAACACATTTGACAAAAATACCCTAACTTTCTTTTCTCATCTCTTCACCTTCATTAAACAACCGTCCGGACGTCCTCTCTTTGCTGTTTTTTGCAGCTGAAATGGATATCTTAATTTGTATATTACTAAATGTTTTGGTAACTTTGGTTTTGGGTAGATTAAGTGGCCAAAGGCCCAAACCCGAATAACACTCCTAAAAATAGCTATTTTGACAGCATCAATATCAAACCCAACGATATGCAGGCCCAAAAATCTGGGCCTGGCCTATATTTCTAATATATTATTGGACCAAGCTAAAGAATAAATTGCTTAAGAATAATTTCACGAATAGGGTGCTAATAAATTAAAATAAAAAAAAATCATGTAATTGATATAATTATGTCTACATTTTGCCAAGTAAGTTCCATATATTATCCATACAAGTTAAAAATATGTGTTCTGAGATTTGAATTCAACAGCAAAGACTTGTGTATGCAAGTTCAATCAACAAATTGACAGAGCTAACAGCTTTGAAACCACGTTTTTTTCAATTTTGAAGCAGTTTTACATTATATTTTACTTTTGAAATAGTAAAACAAAAGTTTATATTTAGTTTAAAGTTTAGTTTGGGACAAAGTACTTGAATTTAGGAGGCTTCGTTTGCAGTTTGCATGGATCCGTTCGAGCTGATCTAATGAATTTAAATTGATTTTTCATTTTAAAAATAGTTCAAGTTAAATTAGAATTAGACCCTAAACAACCGAATTATAATTCGGTTAATCGGCTTTTACAATTTGGTTTTCAAAAATCAAAACTTTCAAATTAAAAAGATTGAGTTGTCTAATTTAAATCCACAAACTATTAAACACAAGTCTAATAAATTAATATTGGTTTTTTTAGAGAGACCAAACTTTCTATTCTAAATGAAGAAACAATTATGATATTTAGTAGCATTATTCAATCATCTTATCATCTTTCCCACTACTTAGAAAAGGTGAGCGGCCGATTCAAGTATAAGATACTATTATTACCGCCTGGAGAATTAGACATCTAATCCGTAATCACGACCCAATTGCAAGAACGAAGCTTTACCAACTGAAGCACTGAGCTATAACCCCCCCCCCCCCCCACCACACACACACACACACACACCAAGTGGAGCATGCATGAAGGAGGAGACACATCTTTTATTCTTTTCCATGGTGCAGGTAAGTCACATTGGGCTTGAACCAGAGACCTCGCTCGTGAAGTAAACATTGCATATATGGTCCAACCAATTATGAGAGAACCAATAGATTCCTTTTCATAAACGATTCATCCTTCTCGAACGCAGTATACAACTCTTTGTGGTATTGCGCCCTCCAAGTGTGCATGTTCTCCCCTACTCGATTCTACGAAATTTTTTATGAAAGATTTTCATTTGCTTCTCTTCGATGAAAGTTTGATTTTCCCAAAATATATCCTAATTTTTTTAACTTAATTCTTCTTCCGATAATCGATTCGTTCTCTGGTCAAAAAGATATATCTTAGTTATATTTCATCAAGTTTAGTAATTAGCATAACATGTCGGGAAATTTCCAAACGAACATAATCCAATTTACATAAATCTTATATCCTAAAGTGAACGCCTACTTACACTTTGGTTTCGTATCTTGGATCGTTTTTTGTATTAATCATGTTTAATTAGGTTGAATAAACCCTATACTTAATATATATATATATATATATATATATATATATATATATATATATATATATAATCCGAGTATTTAATATATTTGTTAAAATAATTAATCTTCAAGAGTTCAAGTAAAAAAAATATATGTTTTCTTGAAATGGGTAAATTGTGTGGCCCGAAGTTGTTGGTGTCGTGCCCTGGACGATGGTGCTACTAAATCCTTGTCCAAGGTCCATGGATGTCATATAGTCAAACTAGAGGTCCAATAGCCCGTTTTCTCAATATTTATTTATTTTATTTTATTATTAATGATGAACCTCTTATTATTTTTAACGTAAGTTATATTATCAGTTCTTAAAAGTAGTCGATTTTTTATATTTTGGTTTTAACTTTTTTTTTTCTGTGTAAATCTAGTTTTTATTTGAAGTTTTTGTAACATTTTTATTTTATATTTTAAAAGGATAACTAAATTTTTTGGACTAAAATTACAAAAATAACCTAAATACTTAGTGGCCAAAATAATCATTTTACTAGCAACATGAGCCAAAAACATTACAAAAAATTTAGATAAGAAGCATTCGTATGAAAGAAGAAAACAATTAACCAAAATTGCAAAACAACTGTACTCAGGACCAAAATTTATTTTACTCTTGTTTTAAAACATTTGTTGCTTAAATGGACTATTGAGCCAATTATAGTTAGATAATGATTACTTTCTATGTTAAAATTCCGTACACAAGTATTACATATGATAGTATTAAAATATAATATTTACTTGGAATTGAGAAAATAATGTGAGTATGTGACTACATTTATATTCTTTTTGATAAAATGATAGAAAATTGAATTCAGAGCTTTTGCTTTTACAGGAATATTATAGAAAATGGGATAACGATTTATGTATAATTTTCAAGGTTTATACTTTTTGGTGAAGGAAAGAAACGTCAAGCCACACTACTAGTCACCAATTTTATTTTCTTTTTCTTTGGAACATCCGAATGCTTCATAAGAAATGCTAGCAATGAGTTACAACATTTACAAGGAAATAGAACAAAAATTGCATGTAAGCCAACGTTTCCAATTTATAGTAATTTTGGAATTTCTATTGTTGAACCAAGAAACACAATACATCAAAATACTATCAAAAAATTAATCTTCTCTTTACTAAACCTTTTTCAGATCAAACATAATGGAATTGGTATACTTCCAAATCATCCAAATGGTTGTCAAAATCACTACTTCCAAAGCCACTTTTTTAGCAGTCAAAAGTCTTGCATCATCCATCGAAAAGAGTCATTCTCGACTAGCATAACAACGTCCATTGGGCTAGGACGCCCCCTTTTGAACCCAATGGCAAGCTATTCCAGTGACATGGTTTTTGCCTTCTTGGTCAACACGATCATGGAATATCAGCCCGTGACACGTCTCTCCGAACAAAAATATTCATTTTTTAAGAACTAACCTACACCATACTCTCTGAGTATCATCCACAAACATAACATTTGTCAATA